GTCGTAAAACTCACAGCAAGCGCGTAATGCAGAACTGCCTTGCATACTTGACATTGATGTTTGTGTTCTTCCCACTGTGGTCCTTGGGTCGTCCCCAGGATGCCACCCACAACATTCGGAAAATGAACAGGCCATAGCCGTTGCACGGAAACGTTGGGCATGTTTCTACTCGTTTCGTGTTCGAACCCTGGTTGGTCAGGTCTGAGTTGATGGTGATACCACTTGACACAAGCCAGCTTGTTCATGTTCTAGCCTCTTACGTTTGATATATGTTAGTTACGTGTGATGGCCATACTGCTATGAGTATGGCATCACATAGCCCACATCCACAGCTCACGCCTATAGCCCACATCCACAGCTCACGCCTATAGCCCACATCCACAGCTCACACCTATAGCCCACATCCACAGCTCACGCCTATAGCCCACATCCACAGCTCACACCTGTAGCCCACATCCACAGCTCACACCTATAGCCCACATCCACAGCTCACGCCTATAGCCCACATCCACAGCTCACACCTATAGTCCACATCCACAGCTCACACCTATAGTCCACATCCACAGCTCACACCTATAGCCCACATCCACAGCTCACACCTATAGTTCACATCCACAGCTCACACCTATAGCCCACATCCACAGCTCACACCTATAGCCCACATCCACAGCTCACACCTATAGTTCACATCCACAGCTCACACCTATAGCCCCCATCCACAGCCCACACCCACAGCTAACACCCACAGCCCACATCCACAGATAACATCCACAGTCCACATCTACAGATAACACCCACAGCCCACATCCACAGATAATATCCACAGCCCACATCCACAGCTAACACCCACAGCCCACATCCACAGCTAACATCCACAGCCCACATCCACAGCTAACATCCACAGCCCACATCCACAGATAACATCCACAGCCCACATCCACAGATAACATCCACAGCCCACATCCACAGATAACATCCACAGCCCACATCCACAGCTAACACCCACAGCCCACATCCACAGCTAACATCCACAGCCCACATCCACAGCTAACATCCACAGCCCACATCCACAGATAACACCCACAGCCCACATCCACAGCCCACATCCACAGATAACATCCACATCCACAGATAACATCCACAGCCCACATCCACAGATAACATCCACAGCCCACATCCACAGATAACATCCACAGCCCACATCCACAGATAACATCCAGAGCCCACATCCACAGATAACATCCAGAGCCCACATCCACAGATACATCCACAGCCCACATCCACAGATAACATCCACAGCCCACATCCACAGCTAACACCACAGCCCACATCCACAGCTAACATCCACAGCCCACATCCACAGCTAACATCCACAGCCCACATCCACAGATAACATCCACAGCCCACATCCACAGATAACATCCACAGCCCACATCCACAGCCAACACCCACAGCCCACATCCACAGCTAACATCCACAGCCCACATCCACAGCTAACATCCACAGCCCACATCCACAGATAACATCCACAGCCCACATCCACAGATAACATCCACAGATAACATCCACAGCCAACATCCACAGATAACATCCACAGCCCACATCCACAGATAACATCCACAGCCCATATCCACAGATAACATCCACAGCCCACATCCACAGATAACATCCACAGCCCACATCCACAGATAACATCCACAGCCCACAGACACAGCGAGAGGTACCATTACAGCAGCAGTACTCGACTGTTCTTGGGAAAGATGACCAGCCTTACTCTTACTCTTTCAAGCTCTTATTCTCCCTCTCCCTTATTCTTCATTTATCCTCCCTCCCTCTGTTCCTCTGTCACCCTCTCTATATTCCTAATTCTGTCTCCCTTACATTTCAAACTACCATCGTGTCATTTCCCAGAAGCTTTCACATGTTTCCATACCTCCCCCTCCCCAACTATCCCTCCCTCTCACCTCTCCTCCCCCCTCACTCTTCACCTTCCCTCTCTCCCCCCCTCGATCCTTCCCTACCCTCTTCTCACCCCACCCAACCTTACACACTCTCGAGTAAAATCGTCCTCCCTCTTCACCTATCCTCCCTCTTCTCCCTCCTCCCTTACCTTCCTCCCTCTCTTCTTCCTATCTCCCTAGCCTTCCATTCCCTACATCTTGCATTCCTCAACGCAACATTAGAAATCCCAAACTCTTACAACTCCTTCTTTCTTATTTCGAGGTTAGACTCATCCTCCGCTCTCTTCCCTATCCTCCCCTCTTCTTCCCTATCCTCCCCTCCTTTTCCTCCCTATCCTCCCCTCCTCTTCTTCCCTATCCTCCCCTCCTCTTCCCTATCCTCTCTCCATCCTCCTTTCTTCCCTATCCTCCCTCCTTTTTCATATCTCCTCCTCTTCTCCCACTCCTTTTCTTCCCTATCCTCCCCTCCTTTTCTTCCTATCCTCCACTCCTTTCTTCCCTATCCTCCTCCCCTCCTTTCTTCCCTATCCTCCCCCTCTTCTTCCCTATCCTCCCCTCCTTTTCCTCCCTATCCTCCTCGCCTTCCCCCTCCTTTTTCCCTATCCTCCCCTTCTTTTCCTTCCCTTTTTATCCCTCCCTCCTTTTCTTCCCTATCCTCCTTTTCCCTATCTCTCCCCTCCTCTCTCTTTCCCTATCCTCCCCTCCTCTTCTTCCCTATCCTCCCCTCCTTTTCTTCCCTATCCTCCCCTCCTCCTCCTCTTCTTCCCCCTCCTTCTCTTCCCCTTCTATCATCCCTAGGCATCGCGGAACTCGCTGATTGGACTCGCAATCACAAGGTCCGGAGTTCGATTCCTTAGCATATGGATAACTTTCCTTACACTCCTGATGTCCCCCCCCCCAGTCCTGGTCATGGACCGGGTCGCGGGGGCGCTGACCCCTCCAACACCCTCCAGGCAGACTCCAGGTAAGCAACCCCTGTTCACATAGCAATAAAAAAATCAGTACCCATGTTTTAGCTGACTGTTGTGGGTCTCATTCTGTAGAAATCTAAAACAAAAAGTTACATGACGTGTGTAAAAAAACTCGCAAACCACGCGAGTTAAACGTGTAGATTTGAACGTTTGTATATCAACTGGCATTGAGAAGATGGATAGAGTCACTGGTGGGCGAAACGTCTTAAAAATAAGTACCATCAACAGCATATCTCAGATATGAACGTTGCCAGAGCTGGCCAAGACAACATGACACATGTGTTTAATAGTCCTGTTTGTGGGGAGGAAGGCAAGAGAAGGGATGAAGGAAGGAAGGAAGGGATGAAGGAAGGAAGGGATGAAGGAAGGATGAAGGAAGGAAGAGATGAAGGAAGGAAGGGATGAAGGAAGGGATGAAGGAAGGAAGGGATGAAGGAAGGAAGGGATGAAGGAAGGAAGAGATGAAGGAAGGAAGGGATGAAGGAAGGAAGGGATAAAGGAATGAAAGAAGGAATGAATGAAGGAAAAATGGATGAAGGAAGAAAGGATGAAGGAAGGAAAGGATGAAGGAAGGAAGGAAGGGATAAAGGAAAGAAGGAATAAAGAAAGGAAGGGATAAAGGGAGTGAATAAGGGAGAAAGAAAGTTATAAGACAAATTCTCACTGTCAGTGATATAAATTCTCATTATATCTATACTGTCATCCACTAGATAAAAAGTTGATAAGATTGTAACCTGCCATAACTGCTATTTTTTTTAATGACACACTGGTTATTTAGCAAGCATGGGTAACCAAAAAAAAAACACATTTACATCATTCATTCAGTAGATGTCTTGTCTGGAGATCGCATCCCGTTCAGATGGTCCCTAGGACTACAGCAGCATGTACCTCCACTAGGTGGCAGATCAACTAGGCTGTGATGGATATGCGAGCCAGTGGGCCACCGGTAGTAACAGCCTGGGTGCGAGAGTAGGAAAGCTCTCAAAACTATTTAAAGGTATATCAAAGATATCCCCTCAGTCCTCCTTCAGAGTACAAGCACCTACAGGATTCGAGTCCTGTTAACAGTTTTCACAACCCGCACATAGAAGACAAACTTACGACACTTCGGTTCGACTTGGACTTTCTCCTAACTGCGGGTTGTGTATTCTGCACCTCAACAACCCCACCTCAGTCCTCTAACAACAGCCAACACCACACCACCCAACCTCCACGCTACGTCCTCTGAACAACAGCCAACACCACACCACCCAACCTCCACGCTACGTCCTCTGAACGACAGCCAACACCACACCACCCAACCTCCACGCTACGTCCTCTGAACGACAGCCAACACCACACCACCCAACCTCCACGCTACGTCCTCTGAACGATAGCCAACACCCACACCACCCAACCTCCACGCTACGTCCATCTCAACCAATAGCATTACCACACCAACCCAACCAGCCACTCTACGCACTCCTCTGATACGATAGCCAAGACCAACAACCATTTCCCAACAGCTAGATTCCATGATACTCTTCAAAACCTACAAATTTTGTACCCTGGACCTTCCTGAAGCAATAATAACCAGCCTACATGCAACTCCCCAGTGAGCTATTTTGCCGGCTGGTAAGGTTCTTCATAAGAAACGACCATTGTTCTCAGAAGTAGTAACATTAAACCATGGATGACTCACTCCCTAACATCCAGAGGGTATTTTGTTCTCCCCTATTCAGACCTTCACATATGGGAGTGCGCCATATCTGACAGACGTGAACAGCAAATACTTCCAATTATTAATTTGTACTTCCCTCTGAAGATATTTATATCCATGTAACGCACTATTATAGCAACTGCAGTATAATTATGGTCGTTCATTTGTCATATAATCTAGATATACATTATTATACATATTATACATGGATCTATATTCTTAGTTTCACAGACCAGATTAACAGTGTGGTATCAAAATGACTTTAGATATGATATCGATATGAGAGTCGTTAAGAGATAACAGAGGGTAGTGAGTATAAGCTACCACTATCTTGATGGTGGTAGACACTTATCTATCACCACCATGATGGTGGTGGGCAGTACCTATCACCTCTCAATATTGCTGGTACCACTATCATACAGGAAGCCCTACCGGCTGCATCTGATGCTGCTGGCTGTCTGGAAAGCCAGCTGCTGTCTGAAGCGTGGTGTTGAGGACAGCTGGCTGTCCCTTTCACTAGCTGAGTGTCACAAATAAGGCACCGTGTCCTGGTGCCCCAGCCAAGGGCACCATCGTTCCCAGACTCCGTGAGTAAACACGAGGAATTCTTTATTATTAATATTTCGCGTACATACTCCAAGGTGTCCCGTAGCTCGGTTGGTAGCGCACTCAGCTCTCACACTGAGGTCCGTGGTTCGATCCCCGGTACGGGTGGCAACATTAAGACTTGTTTACACACCTGTTGTCCCTCTTCACCTAGCAATATAGGTACCTGGGTGTTAGTCGACTAGTGTGGGTCGCATCCTGGGACAAAATTTATCTAATTTGCCCAGAATGCTCTGCATAACAAGGGGCTTTTTATATGTCATTGATTTCAGTTATGGTCTGTATAAGTTGCATCATGTATTTAAAGAAATAATTTTTATTTTTAATAGTTGTTAGCACAAAACCACTAACAAACATAATAACACAAGAAAGAAAGAACACTGCAGCAGGTCTACTGGCCCGTGCGAGGCACGTCCAAGTCACCCACCTCTGAGTTGTGTGATCAACGAAGTTGTGGAAGATGCAAATGGCAAGAGAAATTTATAATGGGATAACACTCTGTGACATAGTGATTTATCAAGCCGTGTTCTTCCGTGTAGAGCTTTATCAAATTAGTTTCTCTGTGTAGAGCTTTATCAAGTCACTTTCTCCCTGTTAGTTTACTGTCTTGTTGTGTTTGTCATGAGGTCTGGTGTGGAGTTGTGTGTGTGTGTGTGTGTGTGTGTAGAGTTGGGGTGTTTGGCGGTGGTGAGAAGGTCTGGGAAGTGTGTGAGTGTGCTCTCAACTAGAGTTGTGTGTGTGTGTGGTACTGCCCTAGTGTGGTGTGTGGTGTGTGTTGTGGGGTGTGCGGGGTGTGTGTGTGTGTGTGTGTGTGTGTGTGTGTGTGTGTGTGTGTGTGTGTGTGTGTGTGTATGCGTGTGGGAAGAGTCTGGGTATGTGTGGGGTGAGTGAGCACTCAGGATTGAGGAAGTGTGTATGTGTGTGTGTGTATGTGTGGAGAGACACTCACGGCAGCCAAGTATTTCTAAGTATGTCTCTCACTACCACAACACTTGTGCCCATGCCAAAACCCATGTCCTCGATTCAGTTAACCCCATACAACCCATGTCCTAGATGCATTTAACCCCATACAACCCATGTCCTAGATGCATTTAACCAACCCATTAACAAAACCCATGTCTAGATGCATTTAACCCCATACAACCCATGTCCTAGATGCATTTAACCCCATACAACCCATGTCCTAGATGCATTTAACCCCATACAACCCATGTCCTAGATGCATTTAACCCCATACAACCCATGTCCCCGATTTATTTAACCCCATACAACCCATGTCCCCGACGCATTTAACCCCATACAACCCATGTCCCCGATTTATTTAACCCTATACAACCCATGTCCTAGGTGCATTTAACCCCATACAGCCCATGTCCTCAACCCATTTAACTCCCCCCATATAACCCACGTCCTCGTTCCCTGAAATCGTATGTCCTCCATGAAGTACTCTGTGAAACCCTCTCTTTTAAATCAGTGAAACCTATTTTCCAGATTCTCTCTCTCTCTCTCTCTCCTCTCCTCCTCTCTCTCTCTCTCTCTCTCTCTCTCTCTCTCTCTCTCTCTCTACACACACACACACAAGACCATTTTCCCCTCCTATCTGTTGCCGTCTTGCAACACTGCTTAGCTCCTGACGACGCACCAAGTGCGAAAGATCTTGAGCTAAAGATTGCCATCCCCATGTTGCTTGTTCTGCATTAAGATCGCCTGTTTGCAATTGTATTGCACATGAGAATGAGAAAAAGCTGAATTTAAGACACGTGCACAACACTTGGTTATCTTTATTGTGGAGACGTTTCGCCCACCAGTGGTTTCATCAGTGCAGTAGAGAGAATGAATACTAGAGAAGGCGGAAGACGCAATGGATTAGGTGATCAGTCCCTCTGTCTCGTTAAATCTAAAGCATAAGGAAAATAACAGTAAAGAACTAGGTAATAAGGTAAATAAATAAAGGGGGGGGGGAAACTTTTATGAAATAGAGAGGTTTGTGAAAGAAACAAGAGTAGAACGAAAAGAAGATCCAAGTGAAAGCAGAAACCAGTTAAGAACATCTGCAGAACTTGGGTAGCAGTGTGGTAGCGCACTCAGCTCACTAAGGTCCGTGGATCGACCCCCGGTATGGGTGGAAACATTTGGGCGTGTTTCCTTAGGACACCTGTTGTCCCTGTTCACCTATAGCGCTAAGTAGGTACCTGGGTGTAGGTCGACTGGTGTGGTCCGCATCGTAGGAACAAAACCTAATTTGCCCGAAGTGCTCTGCATAACCAGGGACTTTGTATACAGTATGTCACTGATGTCAGCTATGGTCTGTATAAGTTTATCACGTACTTGTAGAAATAAAGAATATTATTAAAGGCGAGGGACCAGACGAAGTATCACCATAGGTCTGACAGTTGGAGCGAAAACATTGTGTGAACCGCTAGCGAAAATCTTGAACAAACACTGTAAACAAACCATACCACGGGCGGGATTTGAACCCGCGGTCAGTCTCAAAACTCCAGACCGTCGCGTTAGCCACCTGGACCAGCTAGCCACAATATGTCTCTCACTACCACAGCACTTGTGCCCATGCCAAAACCCATGTCCTCGATTCAGTTAACCCCAGTCCAGTAGCTAACGCGACGGTCTGGAGTTTTGAGACTCTCTGACCGAGGGTTCAAATCCCGCCCGTGGTATGGTTTGTTTGCAATCGTGTCATTACGATTTCGTGAGTCATACTGTAAACAAAGCCAGTTAATAAACGTGGAAATAAGTCAAGGACCCCATTGGAAATAGTCAATTTGTCAGACTCTTTTGGGTTATCTTGGGTAATCTACACATATGCTGCTATGTATGCTAATTTATGTTACTGTAGTTGTGTGTGCCTATGCCTGAATAAACTTAGATGCTGTATTTCTGTCTATGTCCGTCTCTCGCTCTCTCTCTGTGTCTAGGCCAGAAGATGACGACATCTGTACCCAGGACATAGCAGAGGAAACTCAACAAAGAGTGGGCGAGAAATGTAGAAAATATGTCCCACACGTGCTGGTGGAGGGCGGGGAGAAAGAGAGGGGGAACAGGGAGGAAGGGAGAGAGAGGTGACAGGGAGGAAGGGAGGGAGATGACAGGGAGGAAGGGAGGGAGATGACAGGGAGGAAGGGATTAAGTGCCACACACACACGGGGAAAACCCACTATGATGCGTGGGAGACAGTGGCACTGATGCTGTGCTTGATGATGATGCTTACGAGAGACGTTGTCGGTGTCCGGAGAAAAATAGGAATTTACCCTGACGCTGTTGTAGACCTCTGACGACCCACTCAGTGCAGCCTTTGGTCTTCAGACCGAGGTATTTACCTGGCTTTTCGGTCTGTCGATTGCTAGCGCAACAGCTCACACACTGAGGTCCGGAGGTCGATCCCCAGTACGGGTGGAAACATTAGGAAGCCTTTCCTTAAAACACCTGCTGTTTCTGTTCACCTAGCAGTAAGTAGACACCTGGGTGTTAGCTGACTGGTGTGGGTCGCAAAATTAACTTAATTTGCCCGAAATGCTCTACATAAGAAGGGGTTTTCTATGTAGTATGTCAATGGTGTCAGCTATGGTCTGTATAAGTTGTAGCATGTACTTGTAGAAATAATTATTATTATTAAAGATCTCTTCTAAACAAACCATACTACGGACGGGGATAGAACCCGCGATCAGAAGTCTCAAAACTCCAGACCGTCGCGTTAGCCACTGGGCCAGCTAGCCACAATAAGATTCATCCAACTAGGTATATTTCTACACCATAGGAAGGTTAGCATAGGCACCACTGTGACCACAAATGCAGGTTTTTACAGATGAATCTCCAGCTAGCGTGGCCGTGACGAACTCTAGCTCAAGTCCCCCCCAAAGCCGTCAACATGAGTCATTTTGTATACCATTTTGATATTCACTCTGTCAGACACTGCAACACAATGGCATCTTGGTACAGAAAACACCTTGGACAACCTTTTCAAGTGAGAATGGTTTGATCTGAGAAGGACGTGACCTCTCAGTGGCTACATTCTCACTAATACTACTCTGCATCTCTCCTTCCGACAGTATTTAAGTCTCAACACTGTCGCTTGATCTTCATATAGTTCCTGACTATGGAACTGAACTTCTCCAGGCTGAGGGACTGACAACCTCAAATCTACGACTTCAAGGGTGATGGACTGATTACATCGTCTTCACATCTCTACTGTTCCTGCCTACTTTCTGTATTTGACTGAAGAAGCCTACTGTGTAGGCGAAACGTTTCGGAATAAAGTTGCCTATGTGTCTTACCTACCAACCTGTCGGTATTGTATACCATTTTGATATTCACCTTCAGGGGTTGAACAAAATAATATCAACACCTGACTGAACTGTCGAATGACTGAATAATTAATTTAAGTGTGTTACATATGTTTAACGTGATATCTTCCAAGGCGATAATACAACAATCCACACCGCTAGAGTTGTTCAAAATTGGCCTGAAGAACATGAAAGTCGAACTCTTGGATTGTCCCCCACAATCGCCGGATCTAAATATTAAGGAGCATCTGTGGGGGTCAACTGGAACAACAAATCAAGAACCAATTTCCTCCACCGTCGTCTTTGGAAGAGTTAAAGACGGTTTTGCTTAAGAAATGGTTCAACATTTCCATGGATATTGTTCAAATGCAATATGAATCAATTCCTCGACGTATTGGTGCTGTTGTAGGTGCAAATGAAGGGCCAACTCCACACTGACAATAAAAAATATGTATCAAGGCAGAGTATCAGTAAAGCCGAGTAACAGTAAAAAATTAGATATCAGAACAGGAGAAAATAACGAGTGGGGTCTCGCAGGGATCACTACTAGGTCCGCTACTTTTCAAATGTAAACAAACACCCTACCACGGCGGGTAATCTTAACCGTCACTGTTTGAGGATGTGAGGAAATGAGAAGAAAAGGAATAATAGTGATAGGCACCAAAGAAACACCAACAGACTCC